TTAGTATCACTACACATCATCACTACACAGTTCATAGCATCACTATACATCATCACTATAGTTCATATCATAACTACACAGTTCATAGTATAACTATACATCATCACTACACAGTTCAGAGCATCGCTATACATCATCACTATAGTTCATATCATAACTACACAGTTCATAGTATCACTGCACAGCATCACTACACAGTTCATAGCATCACGATACATCATCACTATACTTCACGTCAAAACTACACAATTCTTAGTATCACTACATATCATCACTACACAGTTCATAGCATCACTATACATCACCACTATAGTTCGCATCATAACTACATACTTCATAGTATTACTAAACATCATCAGTATAGTTCACATCATAACTACACAGTTCATAGTATCACTACACATCATCACTATAGTTCACATCATAACTACACAGTTCATAGTATCACTACACATCATCACTATAGTTCACATCATAACTACACAGTTCATAGTATCACTACACATCATCACTACACAGTTCATAGCATCACTATGAATCATCACAATAGTTCATATCATAACGACACAGTTCATAGTATCACTACACATCATAACTACACAGTTCATAGCATCACTATACATCATCACTATAGTTCACATCATAACTACATACTTCATAGTATCACTACACATCATCACTACACAGTTCATAGCATCACTATAGTTCACATCATAACTACACAGTTCATAGTATCACTACACATCATAACTAAACAGTTCATAGCATCACTATACATCATCACTATAGTTCACATCATAACTACATACTTCATAGTATCACTACACATCATCACTACACAGTTCATAGCATCACTATGAATCATCACTATAGTTCATATCATAACGACACAGTTCATAGTATCACTACACATCATAACTACACAGTTCATAGCATCACTATACATCATCACTATAGTTCACATCATAACTACATACTTCATAGTATCACTACACATCATCACTACACAGTTCATAGCATCACTATACATCATCACTATAGTTCACATCATAAATACACACTGCCCACCATTAACGCCATGTACGGGATGAGCGACGCGCGCTGGTGAAATATTTGATGTTTTTTGGTTTAAATCTATCGTAGAAAGTTGCCAGGTGGACCGTAAAGCTCCGGTAAAGGCGGCCCCTCAACGTTGTCAGTAAGACTTGATGAATGTTACGCTCTTGTGTCGTCTTCAAACAAGGAAGTTCATATTGTTTTATGTTCAATGTTAACTGATTCTAACAGTTGGTTGAATATTATTTGACATATATAAACACAGTACTGTATATGGAGATTCACAGGAACACATTAATAGTATCTTTGCCAAATAGTGGTAACTTTTGGCTTTTATTGATATAACTCAATGGAAATTAATTCGAATATGGTAAAATTTGCTCTGTATCATTTAAAGCGTCGTTTACTATCCTACGAGAGCAATATTATACCTAAAATACGTTAGTTTAGGTTAGGAGAAGTTAAGTTGGGTTTGAAAATATTAGTTTGTATATATTTTTTTATGATTTACATGATAATTTATGGCCAGTCAGAAGTTTAAAATAAAATAAATACATAGGGGTTATCGCTGATCGGCAAAAAAAAATCAACTATTTCTTTTAAAGATTTTATTTTCGAGGCCTTAATATAAACAAATCTTCCAATAGTACTGACATTATTCTCCTATAGTTTATAAATGTTCGTTTGAATGTGTACTTTTATATTCACTTCGTTTTGAACCTTAGAAAAATAAAAAATACATCGAAGGAAACATTATTGTATATTGATGCCTAGAATACAGAACATTACCGTTATAACCCCCACTCACGTACCGGGAACTGTGTTGTGTTGTAGCACCTGCTGTGGCATCCCTCAGTCAGGTGTTTCTCCAGAGACGCCAGACTAACAGCAGCTGTGTATGTGAAGGTTGTCCACAGTGTGTGAAGGTTGTCCACAGTGTGTGTGTGTGTGTGTGTGTGTGTGTGTGTGAAGGTTGTCCACAGTGTGTGTGAAGGTTGTCCACAGTGTGTGTGAAGGTTGTCCACAGTGTGTGAAGGTTGTCCACAGTGTGTTGTCCACAGTGTGTGTGTGCGTGTGTGTGTGTGTGTCTGTGTGAAGGTTGTCCACAGTGTGTGTGAAGGTTGTCCACAGTGTGTGAAGGTTGTCCACAGTGTGTGTGTGTGCGTGTCTGTGTGTGTGTCTGTGTGAAGGTTGTCCACAGTGTGTGTGAAGGTTGTCCATAGTGTGTGAGGTTGTCCACAGTGTGTGTGAAGGTTGTCCATAGTGTGTGAAGGTTGTCCACAGTGTGTGTGAAGGTTGTCCACAGTGTGTGAAGGTTGTCCACAGTGTGTGTGTGCGTGTCTGTGTGTGTGTCTGTGTGAAGGTTGTCCACAGTGTGTGTGAAGGTTGTCCATAGTGTGTGAAGGTTGTCCACAGTGTGTGTGAAGGTTGTCCATAGTGTGTGAAGGTTGTCCACAGTGTGTGTGTCATGCACACTCTTTAACAGAGTAGTCCTTGAGCACCCTGAAACTCCATTATTGGTGCTGTTTTGTAGTAAAACTGGAGACCGGGCTGGTGGAGACATGTTGATGGAGCTGAAGCTTTAGTACAGAGTAGTCTACCCGGCTCTCTTGTACGTACTGCATTGGTCAATGTTTTCATGAGTATCAAGTGTTTATGAGTTTATTTTGTATCACACACATGTTTGTGGGTTTTGGAATATCCCGACTTTAGTGTTGATCAGATCATGTTGTTCAATAACCTCTTCTGTCCCTTCACCTCTGTGTGTAATAATAATAATAATAATAACAATAATAATAATAATAATAATAATAATAATAATAATAATAATAATAATAATAATAATAATAATAATAATAATAATAATAATAATAATAATAATAATTAACGGTTTATTGAAAGAGCATGGCAGCTGGAAGGCTGAAAATACACAGTTACATAATTGGGGAATGGATCTCTTGATTTACAAATAATATACAAGTAACATAAGTGATACAAATATGATATATAATAACTAGGTGGGGAGAAGCTCAAACTACAGGGTATTTCAACATAGTAACAGTGCAAAAAGTAATATTGACTGGGAGTGAATACACTGGTTGATTACAAGTTATTGATAATTTTTACAATGGTTGGGACTGGGCTGTTCTTATAGAGATCAGTTCGTAAGGGCTGGATGCGGTTGTAGTGTCGAGCAGCAATTCTCGGGCGAGGGATCTCAGGTGGTAGTAGGAACCTCTGTCGAGGATGGTGCAGAAGCTTCTCACCAAATTTGCAGATGAGGTCGTGGTGATGGTCAGTGAGAGCCGAGAGGGTCAGTGTGTTAAGCGCTTCTTGATATGTGGAGTAGGAAGGGGAGAGAATAATCTTGCATGCCCTCTTTTGCACTTTTTCTAGGTGTTTACGTTGTGTGGCATTTAGGGAGGAAGACCAGGTAGGGGAGGCATAGGTGAGCTTGGGAAGTATGAATGTTGAGTAAACACTGAGGAGCTCGGATGCAGGAACTCCAAGGGACTTAAGTCGGCGGAGGAGGCGGAGACGGAAACTGGAGGATTTGACAACTTCACTGAAGTGTGGTTTCCAATTTAGTTTGTTGTCTATGGCGACGCCGAGGAGCTTAGTGGAATCTACAACCTGGAATGTGTTGGGACCTAAAGTAATGGAAGGGGGTGGGACAACGTCGGAGGAGAGGTTGATGTGCATAACCATGGTCTTGGTATGGTTGATGGTAACGTGGTTGTTGGTGGCCCAGTTTTGAAGACTGTTCAATAAATTATGAAGGGCTGTAAAGCCGGAAGCAGAATTGTTGTCTCTGATCCCAATGGTGGAGTCGTCAACATATTTCCAGCGAGCAGGGCATCACTGATAAGCATAAGGAAGCATAGTGGTCCCATCTTGGTGCCTTGGGGGACGCCACAGGTGAGTGACTGAAAGGTGGAGACAGCCCCTCGGAAGCGTACAGCTTGGCGTCGGTTACTGAGGAAGTCTGTAAGCCATGGTATAAGACTTCTTCGAAACCAGAGGTCGATAGCTTTGTTGATGATTAAATTGTGGTCGACTAGGTCGAATGCCTTAGTGAAGTCAATGAAGGCAACAGCTACAGACGTTTTTCGTTTCTTCAGATGGCGGTATATGTAGTCGAGAAAGCCGACAAGACGGTGAGTGGTGGAGGAAGTCTTCATATTACCAAATTGCTGAGGGTCTACGACTCCTGCAATATCAGCATAAGCCCAGTCGAACACGAAACTTTCACAGATTAAGCTGGGTATTAGGGTGATTGCAATGGGTCGTAGCTGATTTAAGGATTGTGGGCTGGTTGACTTGGGCACTGGTGACACAGAAGAAGTCTTCCAGTCAGCTGGGCATCTGGCTTGACTGAGAGAAGCATTGATGATGGAGCATAGGGGTTTAGCAAGCTCCGGGGAGAACTCCTTGATGAGTTTCATTGGTAAGTCAATGGGGGTGGTGGAGCGTTTTAACTTTAGTTTATCCAGACGTTTTGCTACTTCAAATTCTACTACTAAGTCAGTGGGAAGGGGGGCTGGTAGGTAAGCAGGGAGATTGGTTGTATCAAGCCGGGGGAGCGTCTGGCATATAGTAGTGAAGTGGTTATTTGATTGCTCAGCTGCGACAACATCAGTGAGATGGCTATGGAAGGGGAGGGGGTGTGTCTTATTGTTTAGTCCACAGAGTTTTTTAAGCTTACCATAATACTGACTGATGTAGGTCTGCTACAGGTGTTGCAATTTGGTTGGGTAGTGAGACTTCTTTGAAGTGCATATTTCGTGGATGACTCGGTTGCGAAGGGACCTGTAACGGTTGTGGTCATTGAGATGAAAGGCTCTGTCTCTCTGTTGCATAAGTCTTTTGATCCGAGGTGTGATCCAGGGCAAATCAGCTGGGTGAGATCTGACGGACATCTCGGGGAAGAAGTGGTGGTGAGCTTCCGTGGAGGTGATGGTATAACTTATCCATTTGGCGTCCACGTCATCCACACTAAGTACTTCAGTCCAGGGATGGTGTGTGTGTGTGTGTTGTGTGTGTATGTGTGTGTGTGTGCAACACTTATAGTATTACAGTCCACATTATCATGAGCCATTTACTTCATACTGCGTTTAGTGTCGCGTCGCGGTTCCCACTGCTCAGTAAAACCAACACTACTTTATACCCTTGTGTAGCTGATTAAAGATTTAAGGTTGGGGAGTAACTGCGGTTGAAAGAACGAGTTTATTGTCTTGGATTTGTACCAGTGAGCTAAGTTGTGTTTCTCTTCCTCTCCCCAGGTGCAGCACTCCAGCCTACTGTGGTCATCTGGTCGTATATACTCGTATGCCTTTAGTAAGTAACAGTTATCTTTGGTATACGTAAATAGATACACACAGAGACTATCAAGGTGCTGTAAGTAAGTTGTCTCACTTACCAGTTATTTACCTTTAAAAGTACAAGCTGTCTTTGTTATAAGTAACACCACACACCTTTACTACCAAGGTATTGTAAGTAACACCAATAAGGTATGGCTAGTAACACCACACACCTTTACTACCAAGGTATTGTAAGTAACACCAGCAAGGTATTGCAAGTAACACCACACACCTTTACTACCAAGGTATTGTAAGTAACACCAATAAGGTATGGCTAGTAACACCACACACCTTTACTACCAAGGTATTGTAAGTAACACCAGCAAGGTATTGCAAGTAACACCACACACCTTTACTACCAAGGTATTGTAAGTAACACCACATACCTTTACTGTTAAGGTATTGAAAGTAACACCACACACCTTTACTATCAAGGATTGTAAGTAACACCACACACCTTTACTACCAAGTGTTACGACCGTGTCGTATTTTTGTTTTTTTTTATATAACATGCTCCCATGTTCCATATTATTCCTGTAATGATGTGTTGTATTTACTATTATATAATCTAGTCACCTTAACCCTGTGCTGTTAAGGTTTTAACTGTTATTATTTGTTCAAACCCATTTTGTATTGTAATCAGTATTCTTTGTTCTCTAACGACCATCTGCATCGTTAAACGACCCATCGGCGGGTCGAGTGGCGGGAACCGACCTGATATATAGGATCCACCAACTGACGGAGTTAGTTCAGTCCTCTTGTCATACAGTGCACATCCTTTGAGTGACACTCGTCACCTGTTATTTATACTTAATTTATTTGTGTTGTTCCTGTCGCCACCAATGTGGTATATCTATGTGAGTACCTATTTATGTCTCTATTTATGTCCATCAGTATTTGCTTAGTCACATTTCAGTAATTCAGTGTTGTTTCACGTTAGTTAATTTACGGTGTTAGTTTTTATATGTTTATGCAGTGTTAAAGTAATCCAATGCTTTATTTTTATTCTTTTGATGTTTCGATGTTTTGTATCATTTGTGTCTTAAAAGTTTCGATGGTGAATCAATTTATTGTGACAGCCTACGAGGCTCTATATGGTGTTAATACTTAATTAATTCAATTCTTAAAGGTTTACTTTATTTATTTTTATTCCCTTTTAATTTACTTCACATTTTTGTTTGGTTACGCCTAGAACCTGGATATTTAAGTAAATTAAGAGACGGCGTAACATAGTGGAGTTCCCCAAGGCTCAGTACTCGGACCATTATTATTTATTATATACATAAATGTCATAACTGTCGGCGTAGATAGCAACATAAGCAAATTTGCTGACGACACTAAAATAGGGCGTGTGATTAAATCTGACGAGGACTCCGCAAAACTACAGGAAGACCTAAACAAATTTTTCGAATGGTCTGAAAAATGGCAGATGAAATTCAATGTGGTCAAATGTAAAGTAGTCAGCGTTGGATATGTAAACAGGGAAACCAGATACCAGATGAACAACAATGTTATTGATAAATCCGACTGCGAGAAAGATTTAGGAGTAGTGATAAGTAGGAATCTTAAGCCAAGTAAACAATGTGTATTTGCTCGAAACAAGGCTAATAAAGTACTTGGGTTCATACAAAGGAGTGTTAGTTACAAGACTAGCGAGGTCATCCTAAAATTACCTGTATATCTTGCGCTTGTGAGACCTCACTTGGATTACGCAGTTCAATTCTCGTCACCATATTGCAGAATGGATAATAGAATCCTTGGAAAGAATTCGGCGGAGAATGACAAGGCTAATCCCGGGCATTAGGAACCTTGAGTACAGAGACAGGTTAAAGCATCTTAATTTGCACTCCCTCGAGAGACCTAAAGTGAGAGGCGATATGATCGAGGTGTTTTAATGGAAGTCGGGGCTGAACAAAGGTGACATTACAAAGGTACTCAAACTATCCAACCAGGAGCGAGCTCGTAACAATGGTTTTAAATTACACAAATTCAGATTTAGGCGCGAAATAGGTAAACATTGGTTTGGAAATAGAGTAGTGGGTGAGTGGAACAATTTACCATATATCATTAACTCAAATCCGCTGGTTAGCTTCAAACATAGGTTGGATGGATATATGAGCAATAGGGGTTGGGTGTAAATGGGACTGCCTAGTATGGGCCAATAGGCCCGATGCAGTTTCCTCCTACCTCCTCCTAAATTTTTTCACTTTCCAAACTATAACTTCCATCATCCACCTCTAATCTTCTTTCACCCCTTCTTTCTCTACAAAAAATATATGCACACAATCGTTGTTATCCTTTGACCTAATATTCAAAGCTGGCCTATTCCAGTTGGTTACATGATGACCTAGTCACTAGTGATATGGTGACCTCATTACCTGACGACCTGATAACTTAATATCAAGGTGACCTAGTAACATGGTGACCTGGCGACCTAGTGACCAAGTGACCAGGTGATCTGGTAACATGACCTAATGATCGGGTGATCTAGTGACCTGGCACCTTTTGTAAGGAATTATTGCGAATGTTTTTCTCGTAGCGGCTGCTGCCTGTGGGCAGGTGGCTACTGGGCGTGGGTAGGTTGCTACTGGGCGTGGGTACTGGGTAGGTGGCAACCGATGATGCACGGGTGGCTACTGGGCATGATCAAATGAAGCAAGTTTTTCGCTTGCCAAACCGAGCAATTTTTTTGGTATTATAAGAGAAGCCTAAGTCTAGATTGACCGAGGTACTGGAGACGGTATAAAGACAGACCGCCGCCCACCTTCGAAGGAACCAATAGACCTGTTCATTAAGAGGTATACTGAAGTGTATTTACTATAATACCGAACTTTGAATTTTCTTAGTTTTAATGCACAAAAACAGAAGGAACGAATTTAATATGAAGCTCATTTGTCAGGAAATATTTTCTAAGTGTAATACACCAATAGCAGAGGATTGTGTACATCTGTTGCATTAGCCTTACTATTACAGATGTCTAATAATTTGCAGTTGTTACTGTTGCTATTCAGCTGTTATTCTTGCATTTTCAGTATAGCAGCTGCTACTGTTGCAACTATTGTTGTTGCAGCTGAGTCAGTCACAGCTGACGTTGTTATGGAGATTTTTGCTGCAAATATTGTGTGTGTATACGTGTGTGTGTATCCCCCCCCCCCTCTCCAGCACCTCACCGGGCAGGAGCATCATCCTCACTGCTGCTCACACCTTCACCACTCACTACCTGGAGTCCTTTGACAATGCCACTCGGTCAACCACCTTTGACTAAGTGGGAGGGTGTGAGTGTGGGGGTAAATAATGAGTGTGAGGGACCATTGGAGGTTCTGTCCTCCTATACTACTCACTCGACACACTCCCTGACTTAAGGTTCTGCGTAAAAATTTACATAAGCAAAATAGATGATTTCTTCAATTTTTTATTTCTTTCAATTGGAAATTTTCCTCCTAAAATATTATTAATTACAAGAATTTCCAACTATGTAAACAACGATTACGTTTATATATTAAACAAAGTATTCGGTTGCATTATTAATATGTTTATTTTTTGGCTGTTATCTCCTCTCCTCTATTGGTCAGGTTTTTGGCCATACAGGTTTGAGAAGACTGCTCGCTGCCTCTACTCCTTGTCACTTTCGGTAAAAAAAATCTTAAATACCATATTTTTAGCACATATCAAGGTGTGTGGTGGGCAGGGGAGGTTGTTGACCTGGAACACATACACTCACTTGGAGCAGGAGACCACCACACACCTTTCGTGTATCTACCGCTGTAGCAATGACGAAGGATAGTAATTGGTGTCCAGGAGTACCCACAGTAATGACCTCACAGCGTTACTCAACACAATTATCACTCCCCGCCGATTCCCGTGTAATAGTGTGTGGCCATTGTCATATTGGTGACTTCTTGTGGCGAGGAGCTGCCGTGTTACCCGCCTGGCTGGCCCCTCAGGACATACTCTCACGGGTGTCGCCTTACTCAATCATTACGAACATCCGTTTTTTATTCTCATTTTCTTATACTTACAAAAATTCGCCCAATATGATTATTTGGCGATTATTGCTTGACGAAGTGTTCACTTAGCGTGTATTTCCATAATGTTTGTGTATTGAATACATTAATATTTCCGTTTGTCAGTTACCTTGTGAACGGTAACAACCAGACTCTAGAATTTTCCCATCAGCCCGATCCTGGGAGTATTGTTATTGTTGAAATTATTATGAAAATTTAAAGTTTAGTTCGCCCGTAAATCACATGTATTATACAAAGTGAACAAAAACAACAGTAATGACACGGCTAACCCTAGTGAGCGAGGCACTCTAGGTGGAGCCTCTAATACTGTACACGGGGGAGCCGGTGGGTAGAGCGGTACCGCTCTTGCCTCGCAAGCGAGATGTCACTGGTTCGATTCCCGAGCCGGTGGAAAGTTGTTCGGACACACTTCCCAGCCTCCCTTGGTCCCTGTTCACCTAGCAGCAAAGTAGGTACCTGCTGTAAATCGAAAGTTGCGAATTCGTATTCAGGGAAAGTTGTTGGAGCTTCCAATGTTACGAGTGTCCGCTGTTAGTTTCTGTTCTTTGTATAAAATTCGTTGTTTCTGATGGTGTGTGGGTGTCTCGGGCAGCTTCCCTCACTGCTCACCCACACCAACTGAGCCCTTATTTAAGTATTAACTTTGTTTATTGCATTATGTTTTATTGTATTGCTTTATTACATTAGGTTTACATAGGTTGAATATGTGGAATTAATGTCAGTATGGTAATTTAAATATAGTTTTACGTTTTAGCCAATCAGGATATGTTACGTCAGTATTTGGCGGTAAAAGGTGACGTCGGTGACCAACTGGTAGTCAGTCTAGGAACAGATGTCTTAAAGTTAAGTAATATACTCTCTCTCTCTCTCTCTTATGTTTTGGGAGTTGGTATTTGACTATTGTGATTTGTGTTGATTGATATTGATATTGTGTGATAATGTTGGACCTTCA